AATAGAAACCAAATGACAGTACACTGGTTAGTCAATAGAAACCAAATGATACGACACTGGTTAGTCAATAGAAACCAAATGACAGTACACTGGTTAGTCAATAGAAACCAAATGACACGACACTGGTTAGTCAAGAGAAACAAAATGGCACGACACTGGTTAGTCAAGAGAAACCGAATGACACGACAACTGGTAAGTTTGAAATTCACGTGGTCGAACAGACGCGCCCTCAGTATTCGGGGGTAGTGCGAATTTCTAAACAAACGTAAGTGCATTATTTTGTTTTCACATTGTGAGGTGAATAGTTGTCGAATAAGATCAATGTTATGATCATGTGTGGCGTCAGAACTCCGAAAGATAACATTAAAACGCAATTAAAATAGCTTGTCAGAAACGTTTTAATATATCTACGCAAAGTGTTGTGTGTGCCCATAAAACGTTTGCTTGATTTTAACCTTAACTCTAAACATAAAACATATTGGGAAACGTACTGTAAAACATATGCCATGTCATATTGTGAAGATGAATTACATATGGATCTATAAACATATCATGGAGAGCCAAGACATATTGCAAAAATACGAAAACAAATTGGGGGAGATTTAGAAATACAATGAAATAAAACATGTTCGTGGTTATGCTATAATTATCCTACAACGGTACAAAACATATTGAACCTTCCACCACTACCATTATATACGAGATCGTTTTTCTCTTTTCAAAGTCAGAATTGAATCTCGATTAAGTCTATTGTATATGTGTGTACGAACCAAACAAAATGTTCTAGCATCTAAAGCCCGACAGGAGTAGTCAATTTATTGTTAGCACAATTCCAGTACGGGTATGCATACTAGTATTCATTGTAAGAAGAACATTTTAAACATGCAAACACTATCTCAAAATAATGAAGCATTTTATTTGGGATAATGCAATTTCCCTCGCCATATGTCTGCACATGTTTAGATAACAAATTGAAGCGCCCTCCGTAACGAAATCGATAAACGGTTAGCGACAATAACGGCTTACATAACTGAATAAGGTACAAGGTCTCCAGATACCTTACGTCGAATGCTGCGGAATGTAACAGTCGTTTAGTGAGATTGGATACACATTTCATTTGCAGTATCTGTGACCCCACACCACCCCAAATTAAATTAAACTGTGAATATTATGTTTATTTGTTGGGGTAGACCTATGATTTGCTGAAACGGTTCTGACGTACACTACTCGAGGTTCAGGTAACCCGATCATTTCACTAAGAGCAAGAAATAGCTAGGTCTCTTAGGTTATAATTGACGTACTACATGTTCTGCAGAAAATAGTTCTATTTTGAAAGGACATTTGATCAGATAAAATGTGTATTAATATTTCTGGGCGATTCACTTACATAAACGTGTTGACTGATGATTCCAGAGGGCGCTTTGCATAAAAAAAAAACACCGATTCTGAGCATACCATACTGGTTCCACTACGAAGATTGGGTTAACACAATGCTTACGTCTCTAATGCGAATAATCAATACACAGCCACAGATTACGCGCACCGTCCACTCACTGGTAAATATTAATTCGTCCAGTTGTTCAGAATATTATTTGACATTATATTTGGAGAGACTGTTTTGAACACCTAGGGAAGAGTGGAAGACTTTTCGCGCAGTAGTTGCTCTGTGTTACACGTTATTATTGATTAACCGGATACACACAGCTGTATACACACAGGAAAGTGAGAACTATAGCCATACAGATATGACGGTACTTCACGTAATACTAAAATAATATAGTCGACTAAAATCAATAATTAATTTAAGTCATCACGAAATCATTATATTAGATTGAGAGGTCAAATTTGCAGTAGTTTGCAAGGGACAGGTCATTTGAAATTCTAGGGAGGGTCAGAAAAACAAATATATGAACTTCACATTCTGCTCTGTGGTAAATTAATTATGCGGTTGAACCTTCAATATGTGCTACCCAGTGCATTACAACAACAGAACAGGTGTTACCACAGAGAGAATGCTATACGATGCGTTGTAGTGTGTTGCAATGTGACAGGATACTGGGTACCCACAGAGAGAATGCTATACGCATGCGTTGTAGTGTGTTGCAATGTGACAGGATACTGGGGACTCACAGAGAGAATGCTATACGATGCGTTGTAGTGTGTTGCAATGTGACAGGATACTAAGGACCCACAGAGAGAATGCTATACGCATGCGTTGTAGTGCGTTGCAATGTGACAGGATACTGGGGACTCACAGAGAGAATGCTATACGCATGCATGCGTTGTAATGTGTTGCAATGTGACAGGATACTGGGGACTCACAGAGAGAATGCTATACGCATGCGTTGTAATGTGTTGCAATGTGACAGGATACTAAGGACCCACAGAGAGAATGCTATACGCATGCGCTGTAGTGTGTTGCAATGTGACAGGATACTGGGGACTCACAGAGAGAATGCTATACGCATGCGTTGTAATGTGTTGCAATGTGACAGGATACTAAGGACCCACAGAGAGAATGCTATACGCATGCGCTGTAAGTGTGTTGCAATGTGACAGGATACTGGGGACTCACAGAGAGAATGCTATACGCATGCGTTGTAGTGTGTTGCAATGTGACAGGATACTAAGGACCCACAGAGAGAATGCTATACGCATGCGTTGTAGTGTGTTGCAATGTGACAGGATACTGGGGACTCACAGAAAGAATGATATACGCATGCGTTGTAGTGTGTTGCAATGTGACAGGATACTGGGGACTCACAGAAAGAATGATATACGCATGCGTTGTAATGTGTTGCAATGTGACAGGATACTAAGGACCCACAGAGAGAATGGTATACACATGCGTTGTAGTGCGTTGCAATGTGACAGGATACTGGGGACTCACAGAAAGAATGATATACGCATGCGTTGTAATGTGTTGCAATGTGACAGGATACTAAGGACCCACAGAGAGAATGCTATACGCATGCGTTGTAGTGTGTTGCAATGTGACAGGATACTGGGGACTCACAGAGAGAATGCTATACGCATGCGTTGTAGTGTGTTGCAATGTGACAGGATACTGGGTACCACAGAGAGAATGCTATACGCATGCGTTGTAGTGTGTTGCAATGTGACAGGATACTGGGTACCACAGAGAGAATGCTATACGCATGCATTGTAGTGTGTTGCAATGTGACAGGATACTGGGGATTCACAGAGAGAATGCTATACGCATGCGTTGTAGTGTGTTGCAATGTGACAGGATACTGGGGACCCACAGAGAGAATGCTATACGCATGCGTTGTAATGTGACAGGATACTGGGGACTCACAGAGAGAATGCTATACGCATGCGTTGTAGTGTGTTGCAATGTGACAGGATACTAAGGACCCACAGAGAGAATGCTATACGCATGCGTTGTAGTGTGTTGCAATGTGACAGGATACTGGGGACTCACAGAGAGAATGCTATACGCATGCATTGTAGTGTGTTGCAATGTGACAGGATACTGGGGACTCACAGAGAGAATGCTATACGCATGCGTTGTAGTGCGTTGTAATGTGACAGGATACTGGGTACCCACAGAGAGAATGGATATTGGGTTTTTCAGAATATTTGTTACCAACTGTGGGTAGGATAAACTGGACAGAACTTTATGTGCGTTTTTCAGAAATGTTTGCTTGCCTGTCAAATTAGTAACTCTATCAACGTTTGGAAAGGTGAATTGTCACCTGTTATTATGAACTGTAATATCAGCGGTTATGCCCATATAAGAATTTTCATTTTAGTGGATAATTAAACGGCTAGAGTCAATACACATTTTAAAATAAACTACAAGTTAAAATACAGGGTCGTCTCTACTTTGATGACTTATTTAAAGGATATGTCTACATGTTTGATTTCCAGTATATTTTTAAAAATATTTAATCAATTTAAATCCAAAATAGCTCAAAGTTAAGATAGGATCACGCAGATGCTAATTTATGAGACAGTTTGTAAATATATGGCGATTCAGAGAAACGATGAAAACAATAATGACCAACTTGGTCAATAAACTAGGCACTTTGATCACTGATATCACTACATTATGTTTTGTGTGTCACATATTGTCATTAAATATGTCAGAAAGTGATGCTAAACCTTTCCCATACATCTGTGACATACATCAATATGAACTGAAATGTACACACGTTTGTCAATTCATAAAATTATAATGCCTATAAATATGAAATTATCAATATGGTGAACACATCTTACTTATAAAAGCCAATAGACCAGTGAAATTGAAATCCAACGACAAAAAAAACTTATTTATTTCATAGTAGATTAATTGAAACGAACCATAATTTTAAAGCTTAGTTTATTTTTGGGCCATTATACTTTTGCCAAGCATGCTTTTCAACTGTCAGATAATTTTGGTGTAGCGTTAAGTTATTTTGGTGACGAGGTAAACAAAGAATCACAAAAGACTCGCACTTGATATGGCATTTTATTGATTTGATATAAGGGTATTTATGCTCCTTCTACTATTGCACTGTACAGCAAATGTAAAGTTTGAAATCACTTGTCAGATTGTACCATGTTTTGCTCAATTAGTCAGTGTTGTACTTGTCATTTGCCTGTTTCGATATAATATATTCACACATTGATTTATGAATGTTCATCCCCGTATGAAAATCATAATTTTAAGCCATTTTGGATAAAAAACGGACAATTAGTTTTGATTTAAAGACAAAAAATAACTTTGCATATATGCTCACATCGGGTCAACACAAAAGTGGCATCGTACTTATTATGAAGGTGCCAATTAGTCCCCGTTCGGGCATCGTCTGAAAATGGGAACTCTGTGCGTGTGTCCAGATCTGTATCTTAGACATGTCTGGGCCAATTACATTCAAACTTCACACATACATCATACATAATATTATACATATGCACGTCAATTTGTGCCTAGGATGGGGATAGCCAATTATCTTTCATGCAGATTGTTGTTAGCCAATTACCCTAGGATGGGGATAGCTAAATATCTTTCATAAAGATAGTTGTTAGACAATTACCCATAGTGTAGTGAAGTGTATTCATGGCCAAAATGAGTTGTTAGCTTACAATACATTTTTCATTTCTCTGCTAGATCACTATCAATACATAGTCTACTTTGTCCTTTTTTGACTAATATTTATATATCAGAATCAAAATACAGATATTCAGTGTCCAAATCAGTTTGGAGTCTATTGTTTGTTTTTTCTTCGTTTTTAGTATCTATGTATAAAGCTGAACAGGAAGTAGTTTTTTACTGATGTCATCTGAAATGTTGTAACTATCTAGAAGTGCTCAATACTTCACACTTCTAGAGATTCCAAGTTTGCAAAAATTTGCAGTAAATATGAGACTAAAGTAGACAGACAATGCAATAATTCCTTTTATTATAAGTAAAACAGATTTTCTTGCAAATATAGACCTAAATAAATCTGTAATCTCAGGGAAGATCCTTGATGAATACAAGATGAATGCAAAGTAAAAACAAGACAGACCATAATTTTAAATACTAGTAGTTTGATATTATTCAATCAGGAATGGTGTTAGTCACAGGTCAGCCAATCACAAAGGCCTTTACAACTTATGATACATGGAGAATAAGCCACTAGCTCAGATAATGGATGGGGTACAAACAACTACAATGCATTGCTACAAACAGATAACTTCAATTCCGTCCAAATTGACCAGTAATGTTTTAACAGAAATTCTTTCATGATGAATGTCTTAATTTACTTTTCTTCTCCTTGTTGCCATAGTATTGGTCATAATCATATTCCACTTGTGTCACTGTGAAAGGTAACAAGCCTGTTTAGAAAAAAAAAATATCAAAATATAACATCTGACATACACCCAGTAAAAACATTTTGTATGAAGATTGTTTATATTTTGTTATTCAAAAAAATAATAATTGAATCCGTTATATTTCCATTGTACTTCTGAAGAGTTACAACAATGCAATACACTGATCTTCTTCACAATCATGTAAAATAAGAAAATATTTTTTATTAGACTACCGTATAAGGAAAACTTAACTAATACTGAATGTCTATCAGCATTTTTAATTACCACATTACCTGCTGATTAATTTTTGCTACATAAAAATGCATGTACATGTCTGAATAAAAAAAAGATGACAATACCATGACAAGCATTAATATGTAACAAAGTGTATTATAATCCCAATGCATAATAGGCATATGTTAATATATTAACATGCAATAAAATTGTTTAATTGAATAAAGGGGATGTTGTCTTATTTGACACACAAACCTATATGTTGCTATGTATAGTATGGGACCCTTATCAAATGCACACCATCCTTTATCTGTTAATTGAACTTCAATCAAGGAAAGCACAAATAAAAATATGCAAATCAGACATCTATTGTATTTTTCCCATGTTATCAAAACTCTCATTATGCATGTAAGTACAGCACTGCGTGCACCTTAACAAACAACTTGTTTACTAGTTTAGTTCATATCATTCAAAAGTAGCCTTAACAGAAAAAAAAGATGGCTTTTTTCCAACCTGTCTTGCATAATTACATTCGCGATGTCAAACTATAGCATTTATGTTGTGCATTTATTGTATTAGAGTCGTGTATTTATAACAATTGCATTGCTTATTTTTATCATACTTTTTGAGAAATATATAGTCTGGCTCATCCATGGTAATTTCATTTATATTACATCATCTATCTAAAGAAATGCGAGATCATTATTCGGTATTATCTGCTTTTTCCAGAGCAGATTGCCACTGTGGTGGCGGAAAAGCAATACTTGTATATGCATAGCTTGGATGTGATTGACTGGTGACAAAATTTGCAATAATCAGCGATATGAACGCGATTGATGTGCAATCTTAATGCATGGTGCAAAAATAATGTGCAAAGGCTGTACTCACCTTTGAATTTAGCTTCCTCAATTACATTGTTCAACTTTTCATACTGCTTCTGACAAACTCCTGTAGGTTACAAGCAAAGAGTAAGATAGAAAACATCCAAGTAGATAAGAAGGGGGACTAATACACTAGAGTATTCTAAACCATGTTCATGACGTGAACAGATGACTTAGTGATCAGAACTCATTAAACAACTTTCAGCTTTTCATTGGTGAAAGGTGAAACGAGAACTATTACATGTAACAGCAGTGCAATGGATCCAGTTTCCAACGGTAACAAAGTTGTCAACCCCGACTAGGATGCTACTTTTGTTTGACATTCAAAAATGTCTGAGTATGTGGATAAGTTTTCATATCAATTCCATTATGTTATGAAATGCCCCCAACATATTACAATTGGGAGCAAATTGTTTGACTCAATTAAAAATAAAACTGTTAATTTCCATTTGATGGATGAAGATTCAAAATTTAAATACATTATGGCAACACTTCCACATTAATACAGCTTGGCATTTTTATAAAAGAAAGTATGGTAATGTGACACAGTACGGTAATTATCAATTCCCTGATTTTTCCAAGCCTTTTTGTTAAACTGTTTTAGTATTTTTTTTTTTTATGTATTTAGGAATTGTTATCTAGTTATAAATTGGACTATGTTCTATTCCAAATGAATAATGTCAATAAAGTTAAAGTTATCACTGGGCCATACACACAAATAGCCACCATCATGTTATTGAGAATAAGAGCCATGTGACTTGTAGCCTACTCTCCCACCCCTACACCCGCCAAATAGTGTGCAATTATCTCTTGTCATACCATGGTTACATACAATATGTCCGCAAATGACAATAGATAATAAAACACCATTTAAAAGTTGAAGTTTCAAGGTCAAGTTTTGTTTCTCTCTCATTCTCAATAATATCTTGATGGCAAATTGTGGTTAATGCCTTAGTACCGTAATGAACTTTTATTATGAAATTATCGCTCCCTCTCCACCTATGACTTGTTTGTAAAGTTGATAACCAAGAGTTCAGTATTATGTTTTCAAAGTAGTGGTAATTTTACAATTGCTATCGATAATCTAGTCAAAAAAGCAATGCGTGCAATAGGTGCATTAAAACAAACACTTAGCCTACACAATTATATAGTTTCGCCAAAAAATGCTATTCAGTTATATCGCAGTACAATCCTGCCCATTTTATTATATGGATCTGAGATATGGGGGGCTTTTACTTTCAAACTTGTTAAAACAAAAAATAACGAAATAACTGAAGACAATTTTATACAAAGTCTGTTTAATGACAAAACATACTTTGAACAACTCCACATTAAACTTTGCAAACAGATTTTAGGTGTTAATAATAAGGCCAGCAATGCAGCAACTAGAGCTGAACTTGGTAGCTATCCTCTCATTATTGACATTAGTTCACAAACATTGAAGTATTATGAAAGGCTAAAATCAATTAAACATAATCATCTTCTGGACTGTGCTTTTAATACTGACAATAAAATGAACGGTAATTCATGGACAGCATTTGTTAAAAGATTATTCACATTAACTAAAATTAGCGATGAATCTAACACTATAGAATTCAAAACCAAATTCAAACAAGTTTACTATAATAAAGTCTGGTTGCCAACGGTATTTAAACCAGAAAAGAATAAGCTACGTACTTTTAACAAGTTTAAACAAAATTTTGAATTTGAACCATATTTAGAACAAATCAAAAATGTGCAACACAGGGTCAGCTTCACTAAGTTTCGCATTTCTTCTCACGCGTTGCCAATTGAAAAACTTAGATATAATAAAACACCTCCAGAGCAAAGGTTTTGTTTTCTATGTAATGAACAGGCTATTGGGGATGAATTTCATGTATTACTCACATCTAACAATAGTCAGATTGTACAAGCTCGTACTAAATTTGAAGCTGAATTAGCAATTTATGATGATAACATTTGCAAGTTATCAACTCATGAGAAATTCAAGTGCTTGCTAGGCACTAAAGATAGCTTTATTGTCAATTGCTTGGGAAAATTTATTGATTTTATTTCTAAGCTTTAGTTTAGTCTATTGTTTTATTTGTGTTTTTCTTGACCATTGATTTATTGTATGTTTTATTCATTCATGCTAAATTTTGTGTCAAATAAAATATCTATCTATCTATCTATCTATCTATTATCAGACCATGGTGCATAAAGCCTATGACATCATTTCTGTGGATAAGACAATATAGTATTATAGGGTCTGAATGAATTTCAAATCTTTATTAATACTTACCCACAGCTGTATCTTTGTAAATCTGTCCTGAATGTGGGCATATAAACTGTTGCAGTAATTTCACATTCTGTCAGAAGAGCAAAAAAAATCCACTCTGGGTGAGTCTATATTGCAGTAGGGGACATAGAATGCTTTTTACACAGCCTGGTACGTGTCTGGATTCCCGTATTAGTAATCTGAGCCCCCGGTTTGAGCCTGGAAATAACCACAGTCAGCTAGCGTACAAGTGATAATATGATAAATGCGATTATTTCACCGATATTATATGGGGGGTAGCCATCTTGAACACTGCTTGAAACTACAAAATGTAAATAGTCAAGTTGAGAACATTTTTCTACAAATCAGGGAGAAAATAAACTTTCACATACAAAAGATCCGTTGGGGTAAAATTCGTCATTTTTATGTGGATACGAAAGAAATAGAACACTTTCCCTAGTATATTTGAAAGCGAAATTGCCACCCAACTCTAAAACTGTCGCTGATTAGCTCCTCAAGTATGACGATCGTTCCCTACTGTTATATAGATTCACCCAGAGTGGGTGTGATCACAAGACAGCACCAACGAAATTCAAAAGCTAACTGTTTAGCCAAAACCCAAGCAATTAACCAATTCGCTAGCGAGTTTGCAAATTGGCTGCCCCAATACTTCTGAGACTTGCTGTAAATCATGATATATTTCTGATATTTGAAAAAATAATTTAGTTTGTTTCAACAAGGTCATTTTTGGGAAACAACAGTTTGTTGACTCACAGTACTGTTATGATTCAAATGTTACACAGGAAGGCAAATGTTATGGAAACTATTTGTGATTAGGTTAATTAAAATCCAACCTTGTATCTAGAAATCTTCAAATAAATCACAGACTTGAATACTCAATCTTTTCAAAGTCTTTTAAAACCCTGGAAAGCAATCATTTTTGTCTCCAAAGTTCGGGTTCATTTTTAACATTTTTTTATGATTTCTTTGTTAATTTTGAAGCAAATAAAAATAATTGACTATGGGTCTGGATCAATTTTTTTTTTAACTATGAGAAAAATTATGCAAAAGTTGGTTTTAGAGTTAAAAGGTTGAGAAGAGCCAATAAAGAGGTTATAGTCTTAAATACATGTAGTTAAATTTACATAAAAGAATTCAGTGCAATTTAATTTTAATCTGTTGATATTTTGTGCATATTCAGTGCAATTTAAACCTACAGATAAGTTTTATTGTAATTGTTGTATTCACAGGGAATTACTGTTAGGGAAAATAGCAAAATTAAAACCAGGGATACAAATAATATATCCCTGTATATTTCACAGTTCATCCATGTAGAGCCAGAAAGATTTTGAACACAATACTACGCCAACTGCTCAGTTTGACCTCTATATTATAGCTATAAAAGCAAATATAACAAATTTAATATCTATGGTAACATGGTCTAAAAAAATGTGAGTAGTATTTTTATTTATTCTATTGGGTTGTACTGTTGGTTTAAAATAATCTCTGTTCATCTACAGATGTGAAGAATTACACCTAGTGTTTATGATAGGTTTCCATAAGTGCTAGTCATATACTACACAGAAAGAAGTAAATAAAAAATTATAACATTGGTGAAAAGACAAAAATAATGAATCTTAGTCCCATTTACATAAAATAAACTAATGTATTTGATGAGAATATTGTGATAACTGTTTCTCTGAATTATCAAAAAACAAGATAACCTAACATACCAGGTACCATTGGTTACATGGAAAGGTAGGGTTCATTTAATTTTGGCAGTTTCAAATTTTATTTCAAAAATTTATAAATATCGAAGGGATGAATTTGCACTAACATAAACTTGTTGTTGAGACTCTGTGCTACATTTCAGGCAAAGACGTACAAATATAATATTATAAGTAATTCTCTCATTCAATATACCAGGTATTGGATTTGAGATACACAATACAGAGCAGCTTATACGACACTATGACTTAATAGAGTCATCTATTATTACATTACTGTTCCTCTACAGCTGCTGTACCAGCTGCATTGCACTAATCTTATCGGCTAGCTATAGTTATTATTGAGTTAGGGACCATGCAATCTTTGGAATAGTGGGAGGGGTGCGACAAAGATGGGAAATGTACAACCTACATCCTGTATTTGCTCTATTAGTAGGACCACTCCAATTGTAATGCACTTAAACTAAAAGTAGCAGTGTAAACTGGATCATTAAAAGAAAAAAATGACTTAATTTTATCATAAACTCGCTCAATTGTGTATTAAATTGCATATACTACTAACAATTCACAGTCATATACAACTGTATAACAGTAATTTTTCTGATTACAAATTTTAGAGGGCTGCAATAACTTTTAATATTATACACAGGCACCAATGTAAAATGGGCTAGTAATCTTTATTTCTGATGTCACAAAAACAACACAAAATTCAGGGTACATTTTAATGTAATTGTACATTTTGTTTTTAGATGGGTGAGCTATTTTTCAGCTGAAACAAGTAAAGTAACATCGCTAGGTTTATCATCTTAATATTATGCACATGATAACTAGAAACATTGAAGTTTTTTTTCTATGTCGTACTGGGGATGCTGATAGTCTAGTGAAACGAATACAGACATGTACTCAAAAAAAGACCTGTACATTTTCACGTAAACTAGAATCAAATACAAAACTCATCATAATTGGGATTAGTACAAATTCTAGAAATTTAACCACTTTATATTTCACTGAGTGAAAAGTTCCACCAAAATAACCAGGTGTACCCAAACTTGTTGCCATGGAAATAATGACAACTGAAGTTGATAATTCCAAAACCCAAGTTGTTTATTCAGAATCACATAGCAAGCCACAGGGAATAATTTCACTACATTTTTGGATATTCCGGTGTCAATTGTGTTAGTCACATTTATCTCAAATTTGACTTTTCTATATTGTAGCAAGAGTTCATCCTTAATCCATTAATGTCATGGGCTATTCCTACCTCGGAAATATTACTGGTTCTATCCTCATGAATACATTCCTGATTTATTTCTATATTCTAACCACACACATTGGCAACTGTCTTGCCATCCATCCCCGTAAAGTGGCATTGGTTCAGCCCTTAAACAACTTCTGACTCTCCCTTAACAATGGGAATTAATAAAATCGCGCTTAGAGTTTGTCTATTAAAACTGACAGTAATCAATAACACATGAAATGTGATCTGCTAAGATTTAATATTAAATTCAGAAAGATTCTAATCTGTATTGATCAGTCAATGCCTCCACCTTACAGATGCAAACAAAGATTACATTTAATACAAACAGTCTTATACATGCATATATTGCGTACACATTTCAAATGACATACATAGTGGTATTGAGAGACTAGTATACTTGAAATTATTTACATGTAATGCGGGTCATGATCCGTCACCCAGAAACACGTCAGTCTTGCACATAGAGAAAACTTTCAAGTTTAGCTGTCAGTGGAAATTGCAAAAAACTCTAGGGTGTACTTTTTGGTGAAATCAATAAAAAAGAAATATCTTTCATTTTGTGGTTTATGACTTATGTTTCAGCAAAGTTCAATTTCTGTGGTGATTTCATACTTCTGAATTTTCAAAATTAAATTCTGAAAACTAAGAATGAAGTATTATACTTGTATGTGCAAAAATTCACACAAGCACAATTTTGCCAAGAAAAGGTAAAAAAAAAAAGTTTTCTTCTTTGTGTTTTGATTTACACATACAAAATGTACTCTTCTTATTCAATTAAAAGCACATCTCCAATATGAGCACATACTCTACAATTTTATTGTAGATAGAACAATTAAAATATTATTTATTTTGAGATAACAGCTCTGTAATTTACCTAAACGCATGTGATCCTGCTAGAAAAAATAAGATACAGTAATATATGTATCTAAACAAAATTTGGACAGCATATGACTAACATCTGGTTTTCATTATCAGCAGTATAAATTTATTCTGTACAATTATTTCTATGTTTAACAAATTTTTTTTTTTGCCAAATTTCAACCGATATCATGGAAATTACACATGCTAGTAACATTAAAATTGAACTTGATTGACATAATATAGTGATTGGTGAGATGTCAAAATTTGAAGATGATCAAATAAAAATTATTTAACTTACTGTAACCACAAGAAAAAGACAATGTTAAGTTATAATTTCACTAATATCTTGACACGAGAGACAAGCCAAAATGAAACTGGCCAAGATCCCAAAATTATAATAACATTTCCAAAATTGAAAAAGATTGGATAAAAACCGTTTTAGTTAATGCAGCCACAAAAAAGGTTCACACCAGAAATGACAACACTCGTATACCTCTCCCTTTATCTATGATGATACAGGGCATGGGTACACTTTTAACTTTAAAAAGGTAATTTTAATTAAATGCATTAATTAAAAGAACTAACCTTAAAATGTAGAACTAAGTTTTGATCTCTACAAATAGGGCAGGCATTTGAACACATCTTATCTCCTCTCTGTAAAAAAAACCATGACAAGGGTTAGCTTGGATGACAGTCAGGTGACAGTCAGGTGACAGTCACATTGAAATCATGTGATCAACTTATAGACAATCTTGAGAAGACAATAGCATGAATCAAATCTTGATCCAGAAATAGGAGAAGATATTTTCATAATATTTTTAACAATTTGTTTATTCATATAAGCATTCTTAATATACTGTATTTACTCTATTAGAAGTGCATCTCCAATAGAAGTGAAAATAAATTTGAATATTGAATCATTAAAATATTACTTATTGTGACAACAGAAACACCTTTGTAATTTATGTAAGTGCATACACTATAAAAAAGCAAATACTGCATCATAGAATATATTTTCAGACAGGGGGTTCAGATAAAGTGAAATAATCTAGAATTCCCCTCTTTAAAAAAGTCATCTATTTTCTTCTTTTAAATCCTGGATGACACACTGCAGCCGTGAAAAAACAAAATGTGAGATTCCTTACCCAAGCTACCCAGTTTAATATTTATTTTTAAAGAATAACATAAGTAGGCTCTCGGCTGATATAGCTCCTCTGTTAGCAATGCACATTTCAATGAGAGAATTAAAGATATCATCACGGAATGAACAAATCTAAGAGGTCTGCCCAAGGTACATATACACCAAGTAAGAAAGCAATCAAACTTGTAGTTTTCCAGAAAAAGTTGAAAAAGTAAAAAGTTGACACAGACGCCAACGGACGACATCAGACAATAACTTATATTATAAGGTCTGCTTGACAAAGTTGACAGCGGAGCTAAAATGAGGGGATACAGGAAATACGAAGAACATAACAAAGATATGAATCCACTGATGATCGTTACATCAACAATGGCTGCCAAACTACGCACTCTGAACTTGTATATAAATAGTGATGACGGTATGAATACTTACAATGCACTGCTTTCTTGTTTTCTAAATCAATAGAAAAAATAAACAAGCATAGATTAAATTATAAAGTAGAGGAGATGAAATCATTCATAGACACACAAAATTATTTAATTGTTGTTTATTTGACATTACTGGGTTAATGTATATGTGCCTTATTTGACTAAAATAGTTGTATAAATGAAATTGATTGACCATAGATCAACATATTTTTCAGATTATAATATTATCATAAGGGGTAACAAAGAGCCACACCTAACTGTGTTACTTAAATTTTCGCTATACTGAGAAATGCAATTTCCACATGGATTTAGGGCTTTGTTTGTGTAAACTAGCATTCTAAGTCATTTTGAGTTGTCAGAATTAACCGGCCATGTAGTGTTTTGTTCTAGGTTTTATTTTCAAATTCCAAGATTAACGCATTCTCCATAAAACATAGACATAGATGGGTGAGGTGCATGACAAAATTGAGAATAATTCTAGTATATTTCAACAAATTTGCAGTTATACTGACCATACACATATAAAGAAAGCAAAAAATACAATGTTTTAGTTGTGATTCTTTGCATTTACATTGATTTACAAAACAGATGACATACACAGTGAGTGACAACGATGGACGCGTTGATAACATTTGCATGTTTGATCAAAACACTATATTGCAGTGGATACGCATGTTTGCTCTGGCAGTTTTATCGCAAAATGTGCAAAATCTGGGATTATTACTAGTACCGGGTTTTCTGTTTTTACCAATTCATCATACACCTGCAATTACTATGAGCAGTAATCACAGCCATGTGATTTCGATTCAGTTAGATATTTAAACCAATTTATTCAGTTTTAGGGCAGGATCACAGGGTTCATGGTACCAGATATAAGACCTTGTTTCAATCAGATCAGATTGCTAGATTCAGATTAACCATGTTATAAAACACAAATAACTTAATAGTCAAAATAGCTCTGCTTTCTTTGTAAAGCGTCTTCTTTAATTAAAACAAAGTTGATAATGTTCTATACGCTGAAGTATTCACTAATTGCCATGGTTATTAGTGTTCCCACAATTATTTTGGCATATCACAACAATTGTGGCTGAAATCATCTGTGTAACAACAATATTATATCTGCCAACAACTCACACGAAATTGCTTGGCTGAAATAAGCTAAATTAAAACACAGTGAATAATTACCCCCTTTACAGTACTTAAATATAACATATCAAAACGATAGGGTAGATAGTTTTCAAAAAGAAGTCAAAAATATCATTTTTTTCACCAAAAATGACAAAAACATTTGTCAAAAACAGAGAATTGAAGATATTGTTATGAAATGAACAAATCTGACAAAGGTCCACCCAAGATACATACATACCAAGTATCGAGGCAAAAAAAAAACATTTAATTGTTGACAGACAATGATGGACAATCACTTATATGAACAACTCTTCTCTCCCATCTATAATGTCAGCGAAGCAATTAAATTAAATTTTGAATTTTAAGGCTAGTTTAAATACTGCAAACTGCTTTTATTTTTGCAAGAGACAATTTTTTGCGAATTTCATGAGTCAGTGAAAATCATGAAATTTTGTAGAAGTGAAAATTTGCTTGGAAATTAAATGATTAACAGTTTTTTGGACGAAAAAAAGACAATGGAGTTAGGAATTATATAGTCCATAGTTAGGAGAGCAAATATGTGGAACCAAATATGTGTGATGCCAATTCAAAATCATTGTCATATATATATATATTTGTGTAGTTCAGAGTCAAATTCAAGGCACAGATGTACATATGAAGCAGCAGATTCTGTTGTCTCATTAATTTTAAGTTCAACTCAACATATTTGAAAATAAAATTTGTGTACCTCCTCATATTATTTTATTTGTTATTCATTTGAAATGATTTTCACTTAACCAGATAGGCAAGAGCATCTTAAAATATCCATAGTTTTAAAAGAGGCAAACAGGGAAAATTTAAAGCGCCCTCAAATACATTACACATACAAAATGCAACATTCAACACAGAGGGCGCTGTAACCATTTCACATGAGCAGCTGGTCTTTGACTCAAAACAAATAAATCAAAATCATAAATTTTGGTTGTTTACTAAAAATATACACTCCACAATTATACACAGTACATCAGTATGTCATGTGACATATTTTCAAATAAAATTTATCGTAATTGTTATTTCAGACTTTGTTTTCTTTTTCCCAGAGTGAAATATCTTTTATGACCAGAAAGTGTCAGAATTACCGATCATTTAACACCATGTTTACTCACCATAGGTGGCACATGTCCCTTGTGATTTCTCCTGTAGCCTACCCACACCGGTTTCTTTCCATATTTTTCGGTGTATTCTGAATGTAACAAACATAACAAATCATGATACAACAAAGTTTCTATAAGTCTTCATTTTCTGGGCCATATCTGCTCTATAACACAGTCTGGATGCTTTCACATTTTGCATACTTTCATGACAGAACACAATAATGCAATATATATAGTTAGCAGGGAATCCACCCATGAATGCCTGAGTTCATCCGAGTTTAGAATTAGGCGAGGGTTCTCCGAACCCGCCTATTCACATAGTTCATACCCACCATAGACTCCGGTCAGTCAAAATGACTATTTTGAACTGTAGGCATTAATCAGCGATTCTGCTGGTGACAGAGAGATAGAATCCACGTCAGGAGAAGCCCCATGACCTCAAGATTCTTTTACCCCTTATATCACGAACCCACGTGACCGAGGCCACCTGGCAGCGCCACAGGTAGCCGTCCACCACTCT